CAGAGAAACGAGCTGTAGAAGAGGCCCTGGCCAAGGCCAAGAGTCGCCAGGAGAAAGTCAGGAAATTAATTGATGGTGCCGCTACTGAGTCTCCTGGGCCTCTTCCGCAAGAGCCTCAATACGATGTTGTGCCGTTGGAGATTATAATGCATTGTCTGTTGTTCTTACCCTGAATTACTTGCAAGGTCCGGCAAAGGGCTAGCCAAAGCCTCTTGTTTGGACCCTAGTTTATCGATACTCCCTCAGCGTCCTGACACCCAATACTGAAAAAAACCTTGACCCAGGTCGAAACCCTGACACCCAAGAGACCTTGCTGCAGGATTCGCAGGAGGCTGGCCTTCGTCTTTGTCCCAAAGTCTTGCCTGCATCAGGCTTGAGTTATCACGGTAATCTACTTCAGTGTTTCTGTTGATTCTGGGTCCATGCATCAACATGTGTCAGGCTGTAATGCAGGCACCGTCTGAAGACACGCAGCCCAAATCGGACAAAGATGCCAAGCCGACGCAGACCACTGGACCCTCGAACGGGAAAGGCGCAGGCCACCAGATCCAGCAGACAAAGCCCACTTCCCAAGACCAAGAGCAACCTTCCCAGCAGATTGCCGGGGAGCCAGAAGTTTCCAAGGAACCTCCACAGGATACCCCCAAGAAGGAGTCTCCCCAGGATGCCCCCAACAAGGAGCCACCGCAGGATGCCCCCAAGAACGACAAAGAAGGTCAGAACCCAAGCGGTCAGGCCTGGCCAGAGTCTTGGGCTGGCCACAATACTTGGCAAGATTGGGGCTGCAATGGCGGGAGGGATTGGTCTTGGGGTGGTGGGTGGAGTGCCTGCCATTGGGAACCGAAGCACCTGCCTGAGGATCCGAATCAACAATGGCGTCGGGGTCATAGCTTCGACTCCTCCGTTGAGGACCCGGGATCTTATCGGAAAGCCTGGTCTTATGAATCCGTAGACAGCGGATCTGGGCTCCGGAGACAAAGCAGCTTGGATTCCGAGATGATGGCGGCATTCCGCAGACTTGACACTGTGGACAGAACAGATGATAGCAACCTAAAGGCATTGGCTACGAACTTAGACAAGAAGTTTGCAGATGCAGCAGGCACCCCGGACAAATCCAAGATCCCGACACCTTCAACAATCACGCCGCAAAGCTCTCCGCCATCTTCGCAAGCAACCTCCCCAGAGCAAGGACCCAGGCCCAACGAGACCCCAAACAAAGCCCCCGAAAGCGAAAAGCCAAAGGCCGAAGCCGAAGAAAAGAACAACCCCGAGCACAAGGGCCAGACAGGACCTAAGGTAAAGCAGGACGACGGCACGGAGACGGCTGCAACAACAAAGGGTGAAAGCCAGAAAGATGATGAAGATGCTGAAGCGAAGGTTGCAAAGAAAGCAGCCGATCTTGCCCTGAAGAAGAAAGCTGCCCACGCAAGGTACATGAGATACTGGAGATCCGTGCATGGTGGGGGCCTTGGATCTACTCGAGCCTTGTGTGCTACAGTATGCGTTGCACTTGTGTTGTCGATATTCTCACTCAGAATGCAAGAAGACACCAGCTGAAATCCGAAAAATGGGGGCCGGTGCCAAGGGAGGCTACTGGGTCTGCATTTCAGTTGCTCCGGCCTCCAATATCGCCGAATCCATCTCATTCGTGGTATCGCCTCGAAAGTCATGCGAGCTAGTAGCCAGTGTGTGCATATGCAATCTAGTGCTCTCACTTTCGCACTGAGATTCCGAGAAAAACTCCGTGTTATTCGAAGCCTGGTTGAATTGCGGTGGCAACTGGAAGCAGAGCCAGCTCTACATCAACTGCAAGACGAAGAACACCACCAAAAGGAAAGGTGTTCGCAAGTGGATGACCCGAGTAGACATCGAACGCAAGTTCGGTGAGGAGGCTGCCGAGGCCATAATCTTACGCAAACTGAATGACGACAAGCTTCGCGAGTCGGAGGTGAAAAAGCATCCGGATCTTCCAGATTCGGTTGATATGATGCAGTTTCTCATCTTCGATTCTGAGGAAGAGATTGAACAGGAGGAGGAGGTAATGGAGATGCTTTACAAGCTTGCCGAAGGAGACGACTCCAGCGAGTCCGTGACATCGGGCGACAGCAGCAGCGCAGACAAAAAGAAGAAGAAGAAGAAAGAGAAGAAACCGAAGAAGGCCAACCCAAAAATCTTAGACTTGCTTCTTCCTCCTACAAATCACATAGAAGCCCTCAACCTCTCTCACCTAACAAACCCTCTCCAAGCCCACGCCAAACTTATTGCAGGACAAGAAGGGAAGATCCAAGCCAAAGAAAAGCACAAAGAACAAGAAAAACAAGCGTGCCAAGGATGACAAGCACGACGAAGCTGCGAAGAAGCTGAAGCAAGCCACAACCAAAGCCAAGTCTGCCTTCCCCCCAGCTCTCAAAACTGGGTCACGTACCGCCATACGGTTTCCCATTTTGTCGCCATGCCTAGGTGATTGCAAAGGCCGGCAAGAAGATTCAGGAGAAGACAAGTCTGGAGACATTGGGCAACAAGCTGCAGAGGACTCAGCATCTATGTAAGAGCTGCTTCATGATTAATTCAGAATTCGAAGCATTCACACCGTGGTTCCCCGAAATCCTCAACGCTGAGATTGAGCCCCCTCTTGTCCCAAGGGCTCAGCATCTGCGGGCGGCCACGATGAGCGATCTGCAGGCACAGCCTGAGCCCGCACCACAATGGGTCTAGTCTTGGATATGGGAGTGTTGAGGTCCTGGGTTGGGGATGAATTAGTGATCGTATTCATAGACGAAGCCTTCGGTCTTTATCCTGACTCCAATTTCCAGGTCCTAAGCGCCTAGGCCTATGAACCCCAAAAGCTTTGATCCGGAGTTCTTATTTTGTGGCCTTGAGGCCCTGAGGTCATAACACCCAAACCCCTGGCCCCAAGCTCTTAGACTTAAGCCCGACTTCGGCCCTAGGCTAATCTGTGGCCCGAAGCCCCTTATCCTATAAACCTAAATACCGTGGTACAAAAATGCTAGGCCATATAATTGCACAAACCGCATATCTCCAATTCCCCGATCCCACAATCTTCAAACCTTGGCTGCAAGATTGACAGGTCGGAGATTCTCAATTGTTTGTTTGGGATGATACTCTGGGTTCTTGCTTTCCTAGATCGAAACCAACTGCTTCAAGATGCAACCTCCTATGCTGGTCCTGAACGATAAACCGGTCCTTTATATCTAAAGGTGCTACGGACTATTGAAGCCCTCAAACCTTAACCCCTAAGCCCTTCATCCTGAACCCCCCACCCCGTATTTGGACTTGAGTCGAAGGCTGAAGTGCTTCAGAACTAATGGTGGCTGTGACTTCGAGACTAGTGAAAATCGATCTGAATAGATGAGGTTTTACATGTACACCGTTCGTGCCTTTTCGAGATGAGCTTCTTCTCTTGCACGTAGGACCTCAGAGAGAGGTTTTGGGAGTGCTGGTTTCAGGTTGTATGACTTTGATTTTTGTATTTAGTAGGCTTCGGGTGCTAAGGGCCTAGGGTCCAGGTCTGTTCGGGTTTAGAGGCTCGGGGTTATTTGCAGGATGCAGGGATCTTAGGGTCGGAGATCCGCAGGCTTTATGGATCAGGCAAATTCAAGGCTGGGCCGGGATGTCGTACATAATCCATCAAAATGATCTAACCTCCGAAACCTACACAGGGTTTATTTAGTGCTACGCCGGTATCTGGAATAATGAAGCTGTTCTAAACCCCCAAACCTATCCCCAGACTCCTCCTAAATGCCCAACGCAGGAAGCAGAGCAGCAGCTGAAACACGCGAGATCGGAGCTTCAAACCGCTTTGGACACCCAGGCAGGTCTCTCATAAGAAGCTTTTCCCAAAAGCACGACACCGATATTATATGACTCAGGAAACCCTCGAAAGCCTCGAGCGCTTGACGATCAATCTGACGACATCCATCGAGGGTTTCGATACTGCTGCTTCCGCGATCAAGGGCCAGGTCAAGCCAAAGGCTAAGGCCGCGGCCAAAACGATGTGAGTATCGACCAGCAGCAAGCAAGATCCATGAATGGGATACAAGTGCACTTGGATTCTTATCTCTGTGATACCTCCAGGGGTCTTGTCAATGCTCAAAGGATTTCGGGCTTTCGCTAGATCTGGCTTGGGACCCTTGCTGCTGTCGGCTTTTCCTGATGCAAGCAGGGGCATGCTTGCGGAGTTTTGAGAAATCTAGTTATAAGTTCTGAGCTTTCGAAGAGCCGAGATATCGATCTCGAATGTCCTAGTGGGAAAACCTGCAATGGCATAGTCGCACGCCACAGAGCGCTTTGTGGCTTGCACGCTGTATTGTGCTGTGACGGGAGACTCGTTTCCCTAGTTTGTGGAATCCGAGCAAGGTTTCACAGCTGCGATGCAGTTGCTGCGACAATGGCCGACAAAAGCTTGTTTTGCTTCACGAGATGTACGCACTGAGTTTCGCGATCCATATGATTTACAAAACTGGCTCTATTGATGTTGGCTTGCACAGGTCATGATGAAGAAATGGGCCACAATGCTACAGTGCAGGAGCTGCTGGAAAGGATCGGTGATAGAGAGCCTCGGCAAGTAGATTTGATTGCATATTTATGGTGATTGTTCGATTATGAGGGGAGTGACTCTTGCTTCCTGCTTTTGTTGCCGGCAGGGTGAAAGCACACGCATGGCTATGCAAAGCGCCGGGAATACAACAAAAGCTCCTTGTCCTAGATTCACATGTTTATGTGCGGTTTTGTTTTGGAACAGTTCGTGCTTATTCTGGCCGAACACTTACTTAGGATAGCAAAGGTTCGTGCCCCAGGACAACAAAGAAGCTCGCAAGCTTTCGCTGTGAGAAAAACTCTTGCCGGGACTTCTACAAAGTTGTTCCGTTGCCTTTGGCTCCCTGGCAACAATGGTGCAGCGACAATTCGTATTTGTAGGCATTCCTATTGGGCACTCCATACTTTTTGGTTTCCTGCTACAACCATCTCAGGACCCTGTGATGATCAAGCTTCCCGTCAAGCTGGTAAATGATGATCCAAAGCAAGTGGAGAAGCAGGGATATATGGATATTCCTTTTTTGGATCCACATGATATTCTGCACTATGTGCATTCCGAACTTCAGCTGACGGTTGAACCTGAGTCTGTGCAGAGTTACTGGCGACGAGCTGCTGAGACAGGTGTCGGCTGGGCAACCCAGCAGCACAACTATGATGCAATTCCTGTGGGGATTTATGCCGATGAAACCAAATATGGGCTGCATGAATCACAAGAAAAAATCCTGGCGGTTTTCATAAATTTAGTATTGTTCCGGCCCCAGAATATTCGCTTGAGTCGTTTCTTGGTTTGCACGATCCGCTCCAAATTCTTGTTGCCTGGTACCGCGACATTGAATCCGATCCTTCAGCGGGTTGTATGGTCCATGGGGTGGGCCAGCAAAGGAATCTTCCCCACGACGGGTTTCATGGGAGGCAAGTTGTCGGCTAGCCAAGAAAACAGGGCAGGACAATCCTTGGGTGCAGTTTTTTATGTTACCGAGCTTCGTGGCGATCTGGCTTGGCACAAATTGGCTTTGGGCATTGGGGATGGTTGGCAGTCGACATGCATGTGCTTTTTCTGTGAAGCCACGGCCACGGGTCGCAGAAAAGATTTATACTTCGAACACGTTGGCGATGCGGCACCGTGGCGACGCACAATTTTTCGAGACACTTTGGAATGGATGACAGCCAAGCTGGATCTAAACAACCTCTGTTTCTTGACTTGGTTGCAATTGGAAATATAACGAACACATCATATATTTCAGACTGTTGAAATAACAGACTTGCCAGGCCCTTTCGTATTGCTCCCGAACTTTAGCATCGATGCTATTCGCACATGTTCGATGCACAATGTGAACCTTGGGCTATTGTTCACCGCAAACGGAAGCAGCCTGCTCTGTGGTATAAAATAGCAGTCTTTGCGTTCCATGTCTACAGTAGATAGTCAGCCAGTCATATTTGCTGTAAGCGCTCACTAGGTACACACTGGCCAAAGCTGGCTGGTATGGAGATCCAAAAGAAGATCTGAACTTCTTGTTCGCCAAAGCTCATGCAGATTTCAAGGTATGGGCCAAAGACAAAAAAATCTATTCCGTGCAGCGAAATTTCAAGTATGGCTTGGAGCCTCAGCGGTACATTGTACTTTGTTGGTGACCATATGGGTTGCTAGTTTTTTCGTAGAAACACATAATCACTGAGCCTTTGCTACGGATACAAATATTTGTGTGCTGCAGGTCATGAAAAAAGCGGGGGCCCTGAAGATTCCTTCAATGAGCTGCAAAGCGTTTAATGGTCGAGTTGTGCTTGAGTATCTGGCTGATGCTTCCAGATTGGCGGCACGTGGCTCCCCGGCGACAGGTCCAGGTCGCAAGTTTGGTGGGTGGTTGGCCCAGGAAGTTCGAGCTGGCCATGCTTCGTATTCAAACGACCCCAAAATTCCGCTGCAGGCTGTTGCGATGAAACTTGTTGCCCCTTACTACAAGACTTTATCCTAATTACTAGGGGTTCAATAGTCTTGCCTTCTGATTCCGGAACCAGAATCAATCTTAGGACGGCTATGGCTCGCTGGTTTGGCCTGACAGAGAGGGCTTCCCGCTTCTTGTCTGAGCGGGAGGCAAATCAAATTTATTCCGAAGGCATGCTCTTTGTCAAGACACATTTGGAGCTGACAGCGGTTTCCTGCAGGCCATATGAGCAAATTAAGTTTATGGTTCTACGGGGGCTTTTGTTTCTTACATATGGCATACATGTTTCTTTGGCAGGCAAAAAGAACTCACTTGGGCCATCAAGCCCAAACTCCACACCTTCGAGCACCAGCTTTTGGAGACAAAGCGAACGAGCTGCTTGGAACAATTCTTGCTTTGGCTGCCTGTTGCAATTAACATAAACATAGACAAAGCTTGATTCCCGAGGACAGAACACGCGCTACCATCACTGTTTCACTGATGAAGANNTTAAAGGTCTTGCCAGAAAGGCCAATCCAGCGAAATTGGAAATGGCAGTCATGAAAATGAACAGAACCCGCTTTGAGTCCATGAAAGCTCGAAGACGAACCGATAAGGCCAAGCAGACGGCAAGGGATCGTGCTGCCCGAGATAATCTGTGAACGTTCGAAGACGAGCGAGGGATTTTGCTGCCCGAGCAAATCGATGAAAAAATAAGACTGCATCCGCTGAAGCCTTGCTCGGTTCTCGTA